CCCTTTCTATGCCCCGTTTTTTTCCTTCCTCTCAGGTCTGAGAGGGCTTGGGCAAGCTGGGACTCCTAGGGAGAGTTGTAAAAATTTCTGAAAATTTCCCATCTTTTCCTGAAAAAAATATATGTTGTTTTTTCCCCCTGGAAATAAAAATGGGACAAAAATCTCTAGCCTCCAGTAGAGATGTAAAATTTCTGGAGATCTCCATTTTTAATTTGAAAAAAAGGAGGCTTTTTTTTCTGGAAAAAAAAAATTGGAAATTTTCAGAAATGTTATATCTCTACTCCTGGGTCCCATTCCATTAATGTAAGTGGGTGGGCATTCCAACCGGATAATTTTGCCTGTCTTTTTTTTTTTAACTCATCCTGCTACATCTGTCTCTCTCTGACCTCCATGGTGGCATGCTACAGTTAAGGATAATTTCAGAATGGCAGCTCTAGAAGGGAACCTCTGGATCATCAAGTCAAGCTCATTTCAAGGGGATTCGAACCCCCAACCTCTGATTCTACAGCCAGAGACTTAAACCACTGAGCCATCCAGCAGTTCTTGTTGGCTGGCACCCACACATCCAATTTCCTAATTATCTGTGGTTTTCTCCTCCCCACTCAACCCATTTATGCCCAAAACCCAAGCAATTAGTCTTTTAATTTCCCATGTCCCCCCCCCTTCCCCAGTTGTGGCTGGGACCCACTGTGATTTCTAATTCCCTCTCCCTATTATGACCAAGAGAACCAGGTTATTATTTCTGAGTTGTCCCCAATCCCCCAGGTTATAGCTGAGATCCAGAGATGTCCTGATGCATCCTAAAACTCCTATTCAAGCGTTCACTGCTGCATCCTAATATCCAGATATTTCACTTTCTAAATACAGTATGTTCTTCCACCCTTCCTTTAAAACAAGGCTCCTAGTCCAATAGGACTTACTCCCCAGTAAGTGCTGACAGGATTGAAGCCGTTAAAACAGTCCAAATCATATGAAAGCAATTTAAATCATTTTGAAGGAAATTATTTCACAAGCAGCAATAAATGCAAATCCAGGCCTGCTCCTCTGATAAAAGCTGGTTTGATTAAAGGGGCTTTTGAGACCCATTTAAAAACCAGGACTGATAAGGCAAACTATGTTTGTATTTAAACCCACAGAGTTCTGAGGGGTTTACTCTGAGTAAGTGGCATCTGAGGAACCAGCCTGTATGTGTGTCCACCAAGAACTCTGGCTGTAGTAAATCTGTCAGTTTGCAAGGTAACGCATGACTCTTTGTTATTTTTGATGCAAATTATTGACAGAGGTTATCCTTGTGAAATCCCAAGGTCAATTAGCAAAGGAAGCAACCTCAGATTTCATCTATGTTGCTGTGAGAGTGTTAAGAAGGATTCGATCCTTTTATGTGAATACAATATCAGCATCTTCTGTTGCTGCAAGGCAGTAGGTAAGCTTCTGAGTTACAATGAACGCTTGGTCATATAAAATTGAGAGCCACCAGACAGCCCTGTGCAGGCTTCCTAATTACGACGGATGCTTTGTCGTACAGAATGGAGAGGCAGAATGCGGCGGGGTGCGGATGTGTGCTTTGGAGATGCTGGGGGATGCTCGGTCACGCAGAATGGAAAGCCACCTGTGAAATTTCCTCTGTCCTTAAATGGTTTTTGGGTTCCACTGGCACGCATGTTGCCCCCCCTTTTTCCCAAGTGCCACCAGGGAAGGAGGCTGGCCTTGGACCTGATGCCCTTTTTTCCAACAGGGGATGAGGAGTGGAAAAAGGGGTGGGCGGGAGGAAAAAAAGCTGTAGGCAATGAAAGCATTGATGTCAGATTTCCAAATGAAAGAAAGATGCTGCCTGGTACTGCAGCTTCCATGGTGCTCGAACCACTACCTGCAAAGGGGGTGGCGAGGTGGGGTTGCAGCGCCCAATTCTTGACTCTGCCCTTCCCTCACCTCTCAGCCTCCCTCAGTGGCTGTGCTCGATGCCAGCGCCAACCTTTCCAATAAAGACAAGCAGCTGGCATTGAAGAGCATCCCCTTCTGGCCGTGGGTACCTCCACCCCTTCCCCCTATTGCTGGTGCAATGGTTCGGTCCAAGCTTGAAGGGGCTTGTAGCATTCTCTAGGTACCAGTCTATTGAATTTTAAGCCTTCATCCTGGAAGAAGGTGAGCCTAGCAATTGGGCAGGGACAGGGGGGCATCCAGGAAAAGCATCCTCTTTCATCCAACACCTAAGCCCCAGGTGCGGAGAGGACAAAGGTCTCTGCCCCTTTATACCTGCCCAATTCTCAGCCAGATCCTCCGAACGCCCCAGCTTGAAGGGACCAATTTTGCATTTCATCTCACCGTTTCCAGCAGGTAATCGCAAGGTGGGATGGGGGGGGACCTCCCCCCCCCATTTGGGATCTGTGTGCATGCATGCATGACTCACGGCCTGGAAGGTTCTCTTGGGATCCTGTGGTCAATGGAATCTTTGCAGGGCAGAGATCTTTTTTTAAAAAGAAAAAAATGGGTGGTTGGTTGGTGGGATGTCTTCTCTTTAAATATATTTTTCCATCAGACCTAAAGCAAGGGTTTCTCTTGTTTCTTGGGCGTCTTGACTGGGATGGGGAGGAGATGGGAACTGGGGTGAGGACTTTGGAAGCCACGATCCACCCCCCACCATCACCCTTTCTAGGAAGAACAATATAAGGAAACAATGCCTGTTTTTATTAGGATCATGGGTGTGTGCTTTCATTCTGGTGCCACCCTTTGGAACAGCCATTATTTTATTTGCTTCACCATGTCTTCTCCACTCCTCCCTAGGTTGTCTGCCCCCCCTTTTTTTGCATGGTGTTGGAGGTGTATTTAAAAGGAAAAAAAACACACACACACACCAAGAAATGTAGCATAAAGGAAGGAGTGAATGGGCAAAGAGATTCTTTAATTACGCCATGAATGAGTAGATTTCCCTGAGCAGCGAGATCTTTTTCAAGGCTGTGGCAGAGGGACATCTCTTTTGTCTAGAAAAGAAAAATCCCAGTGGGGAATTTTTTTTTTAAACCGCCCCATTAAGTCACAGTGTTGAATAATCATGGGCCTCCTTTTTGACATTTGACAACCTGGTACCCTCCTGATTTTATTAAACAGAGAGGCCTGCAACATACTGTATAGGCAGTCTTATTCTTCTACAGGCTTACAACATTCATAAAAATTGCAGTGCTTTACAAATATTTCGTAATAATAATCCACCCTGCCCTGAAAGGAGGCAGCTGTTTTTGGTTTATTTAGACAATAGCAGCAACAGTAGCAGAATAGGTTGGTGCCTTTAAGAATAAAGCAAAATTCCTTCATTGTAGATTGCAATCCGCTTCCTCAGAGGTAGGGTGGAATAATAATAATGGCTGGCAACTGAGTCGTAAGCCATGACTAGAGTAGACCCATTGGATCACTGGGGATTTGGTGAGTTAGCTCCTCTCTAAGTACCATTGATTCAATGGGGCTACTCTAGTTGTGACTTGCTACTGGGTTATGATAAGGATCTCGTGTGGTTTTGGAAGTTATGCGGGGTCATGTCTGGTTTGAATGGGAGAACATCAGGGACTCTCCTGGAGGACAAGCAACGAACCAGGCCTGAAACGCTAAAGGGACATTGGCTGCCAATCAGGGTTTAAAAAGCTAATTTGGGAAAGGGGCCGTTTAAATAGAAAATTGGTTCACTTTATCTGCTAGGCTATGGATCACAGGATGGGGGAAAAATTCCTTAGGCCTCTTCCTCCTACCCACCCCCTTGCAAGGTGGGCCTCTCATCTTTCTCTTTGCCCCGGCTTCGTGAAAGCTTTTAGGAAATCCGTGTGGGTCATTTATCCATTAAAAAGGAGGGGGAGGAGATGGAGGGAGAACTGCCAGCAGACCCCAAAGACCTGAGCCTTTCTCTCAAATTGTCTGCATGGAGGGAAAAAAATAATAATAATCTGAATTTTAGAACGGCAGAGCTGGAAGGGCGCATCGAGTCCAGCCCCTGCCAAGGAGGCACAGCGGGGATTTGAACTCCCCGAAACCGCTGAACTGTTCTGCAGTTTGTTTTTAAAAAGGCCTCTTTCATAGGCTCACAGACACCCTGGTGGACTAATCAGGCTTAGACGAAGCAACCTGATAGGGCTGTTGTGTGAGGAAAATCAGAGCCACTGCTCTAAGCCAGAGGTTTCCGACCTGGGGTCTCCAGATGTTGTTGGACTTCAACTCCCAGATGCCTTTTCACCACTGGCTGTGCTGGTCAGGATTTCTGGGAGTTGTAGTCCAAGAACATCGGGAGGTGGGGAAACCTCTATGCTTCCCCACCTGCCTTCCAGACTCCTTGGAGGATGGATGGGATACAAGAAAATGAGAATTAACGAATGTGGGGAGCTGATTAGTGCTAATGTCACTCTGTATAGGCTCAGAGGCATTTCTGCGGGTATTCTCCACATCAAAACTGTTTCACCTTTAAAGCAGGTCGAGAGTTTGAGTTCATTAAAGAAACCCTGACCGTAACTTGTCTGATGACGGGAAATCCTGATAACAAATTAATTTTAGCCAGGATTGAGGAGGCATGCAAATGACACATGTTGTCATCTCAGACCCAAACCATCCTGGTTTCTCCATCTTGTTAAATCTGAGGCTGAACATTGTATATCGGAGTGCAACTCTTCCTTGTCGGCTTGCCTTGGGTTGATTAGTAGCCGCTCGCAGGACAGAAACCAAGCAATCTACCCAGCTGGAAATTGAGAGGTGATTTCATGCTGTCAGATTGCTTCCAATTTATGGCGACCCTATGAGCTTTTGATAGGCAATAATATCCATAAAGCCCTCTTCCGGCAGCTCATTTTAAACAAATCCATTTCAGATTTTTTTCACTATCCAGCGTTCGCATCCCATCTGTCGTAACTGAGGATACCTTAAACTTGACCTCGGTCTCCAGTCCCCCATCCTTACCCTTGACCACCTTCGCAGCCGCCCTCCTGAGTCTCAGTCACCTTCTGGTTTATTGGCTGCAGTTTCCTTTGAGTAGAACGAAAGGCTAGCGTGCCGGTGGATGCAACTCCCCAGGATCTCTCCTGCCCAACTAATAATCCAAAATCAGGTGGGTGGTGATCAGAGGCATGCATGCGGGCTTGTGTTTCTTGGCATACCGTCTATTAAATACATTTCTCCCTTGAATTTCATGGACCCAAACAACAATGGTTGGAGTTATACACTGATTTTTTAAAAAAAACAATCAATCGTCACTACGTATTCCATAAATACTCTGGTCCTATTCGTCAGCAGGAAGTGATCTGAGAGAGGTGGGTCTTACCAAGGCTCCTGCTGTTGGCAGTGTGATCCCCCCCCCCGGGTCTGATGCCGGCAGCTTGGCTGGCCCCCTCTCCTGGCATGGGGGCTGGGGAGGATGATCGGGGCACACCGGGAGGCCGTTAGGGGTCAAAGGAGGTCCCAGTGGCACACTGCTTTGGCGGGGAGGAGAGTAGAGTTTGCATCACCATTTCCCACCCCCCTATAGAGGCTTTTTTGGAGGAGTGTAAGAGTTGTACACTACATGGATTTTGAACTACACAGGGGTCCGGCACACCTAACTTCTGAACTGTTGAAGGGAGAAGTGTAAAATTGGTATGTTACCACCACTGATGGGTTCAGGAAAAGATATTTCCATTTGTCCAAGTTTTGAGCATCACTTCTCTGTATTGTAGGTTTCTCCTCTTCTGTGCTGAATTATTATCCCGTTGTGTTGTACACGCACCTCGATGAAAGTGCATGTGTTTTTCCTGCAAAACACGGTGGGCTAAATCTTCCACAGCCCAGAAGAATCCCCCCATGTCTGAACCCCAGTCATACAAAATGGTGGTTTTCCTACTGAAACACTGCACTTCAGAATCATGGGGTCTAGAGCCTTATTTTCATTTTAAAGAGAAAGCCAACGGCTTAGTCGAAGAACAAATGCTTCACATACTAAACGTCTTCTTTTAAGCTCTCGTTTCTCCAGGAAGGGAATCCTTCTTGTTACTCATCAGCCAACCGTTTTGAGACTGGCTAAACCAAGGATGTGGGGTGGCAGAAGGCAATTTTCTATAGCTGCCACAGCAATATTATACAGTATTTTATACTGTTATTTAATTGTCTTTATTGTAAGCTACCCTGATAATTTTTATAGAAAGGTGGGCTAAGGAAAAAAAAAACACTTTTCTTTGAAAATAGATCAATGTCTGGTAGGCAAGCTGGCAGATCTGCTGGGGTTTTGTTCCTTATTACAGATTAAGCTGGGGGGGGGGCGTTTGCTTAAGATATATGAACATGAAATAACTCTGCTGCATGGACCCCATGTGTCGGTTGCCCAGCTTCTTGTTTCCACCCACAAAGGGCACGAGGAAATTACCTAGTAAAGTGTGTGCGTGCATCCAGATCCTTGGCAAGTAATATGCAGAGGTAGACTGCTCCTGAACATGATAAGCGTAACTTTCTCCTTTGTGAACTCAATGCATCTTTCCGGGGGGGAAAAGCTATTTAAAACGGGAGCCCCCATGGCAAGCAGCAGATATTGGCTAACAGTTATTTCAAAACTCTTTTTTTAAAAAAGCTGCATTATCCCTCACAGAATCCCCATGAAGGGCGAGACGCCGGTAAACAGCACCATGAGCATTGGGCAAGCTCGCAAGATGGTGGAGCAGCTCAAGATTGAGGCCAGCATGTGCAGGATAAAGGTAGGAAATTGGGGGGGGGGAATTACATGGGGCACAAAGTTAGGGGGTTGTCAACCCTTCTCCTCCAAGTGAGTCGGGGGGAATCAGGTATGAGGGACCCTCTCCTCCCATGGATGGAAAACGTAGGGCTTCTCAATGGACTGGGGCACCCATCAGCCTTACTCGGCTGTCTGGCTGGTGGGGAAGGACCATGGGGTTTGTAGTCTGACCCGACTCAGCTGGCTGGTGGGGAAGGCTCATGGGGTTTGTAGTCTGAGAGAGCACCTGGAAGGCCATGCATTCTGTAGCGTTTTTTCCACACAAGGCTTTTAGTCAGGGGAGCTTCCACTGCTGGTCCCCCTCCATCTTATCCGCGTTATGACCCGCAATGCTTGGGGCCAAGATTTTTCCCTTCCCAGTCCTCTCACCTGATGACTTTTCTCATTTCCTTATAGTTCCCAGTACGGTGTGTGTGTAGGCACTGAAACCAGTGAGCCCATCGCCCACTGGAACATGAGACGCACCTGATATGTAACAAAAGTGCGGTCCGTGCCCATTTCTTGAGGGCTAGGGAGGGGCTGCGCTGTTCCTAGAGCAAGCGCTGAAAGCTGAATTGGTTGCACCCCAGAAATCCCAGTTGTGTTACTGGGAAAGCCATAACAATGGATTGGGCGACTATGAGAGGGGATGCATTACGAGCGAAAGGCTGCCCCCTTGTGGTCAGAAGGAGCATGGCTTGCGCTGTAAGAGCCCACTGCAAGCAAGCCGGGCTCGGATACAGACTTGAAGGACCATGGATGTCTTTCTGCTTTAATTTTCTGTTTCCGTGACAGCTTTCCAAGTGTTTTACAAGAATTTTGTATGATTTTGCAAGCTGCCAAGTCTAAGCTGACTGATAGCCACCCTAATGGCTTTCAAATATAGCGATTTAACATGTCTCGCCCTCCTCCATTTGCTTCCATGGCCACGCAGGGATTTGAACTCGGGTCTCCCGAGTCCTAGGATGTCATTCTATCCACAGGGAGGGCAGCCTGCCCTCCGCCGGGGGTCTCAGCTGCCCCTGTTGTTCCCCTGCAGGTCTCGAAAGCTGCCGCCGATCTGATGACGTACTGCGATGCCCACGCCTGCGAGGACCCCCTCATCACCCCGGTGCCCACTTCCGAGAACCCCTTCCGGGAGAAGAAATTCTTCTGTGCCCTGCTCTGAGCTGCGTCTCTCATCCCCACTGCCGCCACTGCCACCACTGCCAACATCTGGGGGCCAGCGTGGGTATTTGGGCTGCTCCCCTTTCCTTCCCCCCCCCCACTCCAATCCAATCCCAGGACAAATCTTCCCCCCCTCCCCAGCAATCTGTGGAACTGAATTTGGGAAGGGCGGCCCTGCGCACTTCCGAGGGGGGGGGGTTAGGGAATAGGGAGCAGGTATATCCGTCTCTTCTGGCTGGTCACCTTCCCCCCCCAACCCAAAACATCCAACATACTGTACTTAAAAACCCTGTGTTAAGATTACAGCAAATCCGCTCCGTTTCCGTAAGCGATATGAACACAGCGCTTTGCCGTCTTCCGAGACGGGGTGTCCCCATTTTGTTGGAAGTGGTGATGGGGGGGGGGAACAGGAAGAAAAACAGGGTACCCACACACCCCATAACAAGTCCTAAGGAGTTCTTAACCCCCCACTATTTTATGCCCCGTTATCTGACATGAGTGGTTTCACAGTAATGTCCACATCTAAACTTTCCACCATTGGTATCTTCTTGGGGGAGAATGTTTCCCATCATCCCCTACCCCCTAGGCTCATGCTGGCTGGCACAACGCTCGCCGAGGTGTTGCCCGAGAGATCGTTTTTCCAAATTCTCGGTTTGGCTTCTGCTCAGATCTGCAACCGTAGCCCCCTTCCCCTCGCCCAGGGAAAGGCAGAAGGTGCCCGCACCTGCCCACATTGTATCAGAGAGCACAGAAAATAATAAAATAAAATTATCTGGTGACACTGAACTGGGTCAGTGGTTTTGAAGGGTGGAAGGCAGGGAGGCGTATCTAACGTTCCATCTGAGAAGTCTCGAAGCAGGTGTTTCCACATCAAAGTGGCCGCAATCTCGCACTCGGGTCCCTCCCCCAGCGAAGCAGAAACAAAACGGGACCAATTCCAACAGTCCATATGCAGAGGTTTGAAATTTCTGGTTTTTAATGAATTAAGGTAGAAACCCAGCCAAAATATCTTGATCTGGGTGGAAGAAAGCGAGGGTGGATTGCAAGGTGTGAATTGAGAAAGAGAGAAAAGTCTGGAAATGTGAAATAACCAGCGACCCGGAGGATCCGTGAAATGTGTTGCTCGCTCCCGTTTGGTTTGGGAACCTCCTCCTTTCTTCCTAGAATAAATGGAATTAAAACTCCCAACACGGCCGGTCAAGCTAAGGTGTAGCCCGAACAGAAAAGCGCCATCAACCCACCCACCCTGAGCTGGCAGCAAAGGAGGATGATTGAAGAGAAGCTGGAAGTTATGATTTTTGCACACATGATATAGTACATTTGGTACAAAAAATACACCAGGCCCAGCCCGGGGCCACAGCGTTTCTTTCAAGATCCCTGCCCATTTTGTGAAATAAATCAACACCGTTCATTATTGCTATTTCGGTCCCCGGGAAGAACCAGCAGACCCTGTGAGGTAAGGCGCTTCCATTAATTAAAAAAAAGCTGGAAAAAAGAGACGGAAAAAAAGCGCACAATGACTTCATTAGGATGATCAAAGCTCAAGGCGGCGCCAGTCTATGCCTATAGAGCTTTGGTATCTATCGTCCTGGGGGTCTGAATCTTGGCTTCTATTAATTAAAATAATCATCAGCATCATCCGGACCCTAGTCCTGCTTAAGGCTTAAAAGAAAACAGGAGCTGAGAAAGACCATCTAGAAATCACAAGCACTCCTCTTCTGCAGTCTATGGGATCCCCAGGTCTCCTGCCGAGGGTGGGAAGTTCGTTTGGATAATTAGGTCCTCTCCCAAGGAGCTGGAATGGTTTTGAAGGCGCAGATAAGTTTCTCTATCAGATGAGGGAAAGTAGTAAATTGGCTTAGTGTCCCTATTAGGGGAGCAGAAAAAAACCTACCATTGTTTGAACACATTATCTGCGGCACTGTGAACATCGCAGACTAGTCCTCACTGATACGGTGTTCTCCAGCTGTGCCAGACCACCTTCATCAGCTCCCCGAGCCAAGAGGTTCCACCCGTCTAAATGACCTCAAGGTAGGCAGAAGCAAGGAGCAAGATGCCCCCCAGGGATCCCGGTAGCTTCCACGTCTTCTCCTGGCACAGCTCTTAAAGAGTTCAAATTTGTGGCCTCTTCCTTAAACCCATCAGATTGTGGTTAACCGTGACTATGGCTGAATTGTAAACAAACTACGTTTGAATGGCGGGCTATGAAGCTGGTTTGTTTCTAAACAAACCCTCTTTAGGATTAACTATGGTGTTTGTTGTGGGTTTCTCAGGCTCTTTGGCCGTGTTGAAGGTTGTTCTTCCTAACGTTTCGCCAGTCTCTGTGGTCGGCGTCTTCAGAGGACAGCGCTCTGTGCTCTGGTGTAGTTTGCCTGGGAGTTGAGTATTTATGGCTGTGAGATCAGCTTTTGTCCTTTTCAGGAGATGGGTGATTAGTGTGTCTTGTTGTGGGTGTATTGTTGTGATGAGGAGAGATTATCTGTCACTGTGATTGAGGGTGTCATTAGCTGGTCTTTTGTGTGTAGTGATCCCCGCTCCTTGTGGCTGGGTAGAGTTTGTTGAACATGGCAAAAGAGCCTGAAAAACCCACAACAACCAAAGCCTTCACGAATACATTAACTATGGTGTACTGATTTGACCCAACTCCGGGAGGCAGTGGAAGACAGGAGGGCCTGGCGTGCTCTGGTCCATGGGGTCACGAAGAGGCAGACACGACTTAATGACTAAACAACATGGAGTACTGACAGGGGTGGCCCTCCAAAGACTAGGAACACAAAGCAGCTGCTTTTGATGGAGTGACACCATTGGTTTATCTGGTTTCCCAAACTTGATTCCCCCAGATGTTCTTAGATGAAAACTCTTAGAGAAGACTTTTTCCCACTCGCTGTCCTGCCTAACATTTCTGGGCGTTGTAGTCCAAGAACATCTGGGGACCCCGGTTGGGAAGCACTGATCCAGTGCTAGTATGAATGGACGTTCTGGTCCAACATCTGAGAGGCAACACTTTGCACATCCCTAATAGAGAGTAGGCTGACTGGATAGCTCAATGGTTTAAGTCTCTGGTTGCAGAGGTTGAGAGTTTGATTCCCCCACTGTGCTTCCCGTCAGCCTGGGTCGCCTTTGGCAAGCTGCACGGTCCCACAGCGCCGCCTAGAGGAAGGGAAGGGTAATTGTCTGCAGCCGAAGACAAACACGATGGTGATGGATTGCTCTCTGTTCCATCCTGGAGAGAAGGTCAAATGGAGGGCCCCCCTGTACACTTAATAGATCCCAGGATGCTGAGGCAGACAGCGGTGAAGAGACAAGGGCCCTGGGCAGAAGGAAGAAGGCTAGAACGAAAAAAAGAAATATAGGGTAGGATGTCAGACGCACGGAGCTGGTTTTCCACTTGAGAACCACCTTCCAATACGGATTAAGTTCTTAAGTAGAGACCCCACTGTATTCCAGAACTGATCCTTCACCTAAATGTCTAGAGGCTGTTATTAACATTATAAAAATAAATATAATCTATCCAGTGTAGGCACAGTACTAAGCAATCAATCTATACTTCACTCTTCAACAATGCTGGGCTTGGGGCGCTAGGCCTCCATGTAGTTCAAAATCCATATATAACTCTTATGCCCCCCAAAAGACAACTACAAAACAGAAACAGCTAATTCACACATTCACACACGGGGGGGGGGGGAATGGAAAGAACAGTTGTTTCTATTGGGGTTTTCTTCCCTAGCACTGACAATTGTTTCCATACTTTACTGAGTGTAATGGACCTTAAAGGTTCTTATTAACCCTCAGCCCCTGATCTAGAGGCTGAATTAGAAATGTTTGGGTGCAAGCAGAACACTTGGATGCCTTCAGTGCTAAACTCATGGGGTTCTGGGTGGCCAGGAGCACAGTACTTATTGAACATTTATTTCCTGAATATTTATTTACCGTATTTGCTGGTGTACAAGATGACTTTTTGGGACCAAAAAACATGCCTCCAAGTGGGGGTGTTGTCTTGTACGCCGAGTACACTTCATTTTGGCCAGTAAGGAGCCGCCGCCGAGTGAGTGACGCGGGTCCACGCTGGCCGGGGAGGAAGACAGGCAGGCAGGCAGGCAGGCAGTCTGGATGGAGGGAGGGAAACACAGCCTGCCATGCCTGAATGGCCAGAGCCCGCTGCCCGCCATCCTGCGCTGCTGAGCCAGCTGCGTGCTTGCTCGCCCGCCACCCGCCCATTTCCCCTTCTTCTTCCTCCTCCTCCTGCCGCCGCCCGCTCAGCCTCTTCCCCTCTTCCCTACCCTCTCACTGCTGAGCCAGCGCGCTCACTCGCCTGCCACCCGCCCGCTTTCCCTCTTCTTCTTCCTCCTCCTCCTGCCGCCACCGGCTCAGCCTCTTACCCTCTTCCTCGCCCTCTCGCTGCCATGCCTGAGCAGGCAGAGCCCATTGCTGGGCTGCCCACCGCCCCGCGCCGCTGAGCCAGCAGCGCGCTCGCTCACCCGCCACCCTCCCGCTTCCCCTCGTCCTCCTCCTCCTCCTGCTGCCGCCCGCCCAGCCTCTTCCTTGCCCTCCTCCCCGCTGGCCATGAATTTCCAGGGCGGGCCCAGGCAGAGCCCCGGGCAGCCGGCGCAACATGTTGGGGGGTCGCCTTGTACGCCAGCAAATACGGCATTTGGAAAAAATCAGTGTATAACCAAAACCGTGTTATTCAGACCCATGCAATTTAAGGGAGAAGTGTAGTCCTATTTGAACTATTGTGTGCCGTCAAGTTGACTTCTGGTGATCCTAATAGGGTTTTTAAGGCATGTATTATGTTTAAGAGTTGATTTATCCTTGCCATCCTACCATCTTATTCCATGATCGAATGGGGATTTGAACCCAAGTTTCCTTAGTCCTAATCTGGTACACTATCCACTGTATCCCAATAGCTCTCATATTACCAGGCCTCTAACAGATTACACTCACAATACTTTTTATATGGAGATAGAATATATTCTTGATGTTTTACCAAGCTACAGAACTTCCTTACCTTAGCCTCTCCAATTTCTTTATCAGCAGTCTCAAGAACAATTTCTTTATGCCTTTCCAACTGTCGGGCCAAATTATCTATTTCACTCAGTTCTTGGCAGAGTTCTTCATTTTTGTTACTTAAATGCACCACCTCACTAGTCACATTTTGCCTGCTGTCCAAAAGATCTTGTATGCGCATTTCAAGCTCTTTCTTTGTCTGCTGTAAAAACTCAACCTAAAAAGGATATTCACACCATGCATTATGATTCAAATTAATAAACCTGTAGGAGCATTACTATAATTGGGAAAAATCAGTCATTTGTTCTCAAATAATTACTATAATTTTGGTTAGAATATAATAAAAATTAACAAAAAAATCCATCAGTGTCCAAAAGCTATTGTTATTCACAACACTTATTTCTCACACATGTAGTGGAAGTAAGCTGAAAACTGACATTGATGTTGTTGCCAACAATGCACTGTTCAGTTAATGTGCTGTGCTTAATTTTTTGCTGTTTTCACCACAGCCGCTGAAGCTTTTGCAGGTGAATGTGAATGCCATCCAGATCTAAGACAAGGTCTTACGAATACACGCCCTCTCCCTTTGATGCCGTTGGACTACAACTCCCATGTGTCCTAGCCAGCACATATGATGGAAGGGGATGCTGGGAACTGTAGCCCAAAGGGTCGCACATCCTCCGTCTCTTCATCGGAATGGCGCACTTCCTGCAATTTCACAGAACGGGGCTTAAGAGTTAAAGGCACAGCACTAAAGTGCATTGAAAAGCATGGAGTGGATAATTTGGTACCAGCCAGCAGGTGGTGCTGTTCCCCAAAACCATATTCATAAGGGTTGCTAGACTGGAGAGTACGCAAGGAATTTCTGGAAGAGAAGGAAGAAACACTTAGACTACTAAATCCCGAAATGTTCTGGGACTACGATTCCCAGAAATCTGGGAGCTGCAGTCTAAGAACACCTGGGTCAAGATGCAGGCAACCAAGCATCCTCCATAGCCTTTTGGACTGCAGGTCCCATCATCCCTCATGGCTCCCTGTGCCGCCTGAGGCCGATCGGAAGGGCAATAAAACCAGACGGGGGAGACCCTCGGCTGACCCGGCCCCGCGGGGAAGGAGGCTTACGCGCTGAATCCGTTGATCATGTGGGCGTATTTCACCAGCACCAGGTCCAGCCAGCCGCAGCGGCGCTTCCGGCCGGTGGTGACGCCGAATTCCCGCCCCCGGGACTGCAGGAGGGCGCCAATCTCCTGCGAGGCGACAGAAGAGGGAAGCCATAGGGGACGGCGTAACCGGCCTCCTCCTCCCGCCCACCCACCGAGCCGCAAACGTCGCCCGCCCTTCCCGCGGAGCCCACTTACGTTGTCCTGTTCCGTCGGAAAGGTCCCAACGCCCACCCGGGTGGTATAGGCTTTCACGACCCCGTACACTTTGCCGATGTACTGCGGGGGAATGCCGAGGCCGGTACAGACTCCTCCCACGGTACAGTTGGAGGAGGTGACAAAGGGGTACGTACCTGGGGGAGAGGAAAAGGGGGAGTTAGATGGGAGAGTAGAGCAGCGGTATAATGGAGCCCGGGCCATCCTGCCTGAAGGCCCAAGACTTTCTGGTGAGGAAGGATCCACCGTGTCGTCCACCACCCCACCACCCCCTGGGCGTTGCTGTTCCTTTCTAAACTTAGCTGCCACCTTCAAAGTTGCTGGGAGAGCAAACATCGCTGTTGTGATGCACCATATTGGAGGCCGATTTGGTCGAGAAGGGGTCATTAAGAGCCATTAGCTTTACAAAAGACCTGCTCCACGGGGGTTGAAGAGACCATCCGGCCACTTGTTGGTTTGGCTTCTCCTTCCAAGGAGAGGTGGGGACGGTCAGAATGAACCCCTCCACCTCCGTATTCTCCCACGACACACCTGGGCTGTTGTTCCAGAATTGGGTTGTGGGTCAGTGGAGAGAAAATGCATATTTGGCGGGCAGAGGAGCCCACGTTCAATCCTGTACATCTTCAAGCAAGCCTTGGGGGAAAAAAAGGCTGAGGAGCTACGCCCGGCCAACGTGATTACGATGGGCCAAGACAGACACACCCAAAGTCTGACGCCATGGCCCAAATCCTGTTGCCTGGTCAATAAACAGCACACACCGCAATCTGAGCAGGGCGGGAGGGGGCGCACGTGCAAGCACCAAGAGAGCAAGAGAGAGCAGGCCTGAGAATTGTGGTGGGGGCTCTTTATTTAACGCCACGAAAAAACCCGAAAGCTACGGCTTTTGCGTAGGTCACGCGACAGGATTCCAGCCCATCCAAGTCAGCTTCCTCTGCTTCTGTTTGAGCCAAACTCTTACTTGGAACCATCTGAACGAGAATCAAACTTCTAGGCTCATTCTACACTCTTCTTCCTTCCCACCCCCCCAAAGGTTGAATAGGTTGGATTCGGCCAGGTACGTTTACATCTGGTATACAGTAGGGACCCCCCTTATCCATGGGATCGCTATCTGCCGGTTTGTTTATCTGCTTCTGACCGGATAAACAAATCGGTGGAGAGTGATCCCGCTGATAATAGAAAGAACTGGATTTTTTTCTATTAAAAGAAGAATCCAGTTCTAAAGGTGAACGTTGGCTGGAAAATAGGCACGTATCTGTAATAAACAGAGGGAAAAAAACCTAATTTCTGAAAGGGAGAGGCAGGGAGAGAAAGGTACTCACCAAAATCGATGTCCAAAAGAGCCGCGTTGGCTCCTTCGACCAGGATCTTCTTAGGCGGGCCGTGCAAAGCTTGGTACATGAAATAAACACCGTCTTTGACCAAGGGGCGGATCTTCTCAGCATAGACCTGCCCATTAATAATCACGGTCGTCAAGAGTAGATTTCGGAGCAGCCAAGGTTACATTTTGCCCCCTCCCTTCCCTGCATCACCTTCAGTTGTTCCAGCTCAGCTTCTGTGTCGATGTTGAGAGTCGGATATGTGGCTTTATAGTGCTGAGCCAAAGCGCGAAACCTGCCCGGGAAAACAAAAAAAACATGGTTGATAACTTCTGCTTCTACAGTGGTGCCTCGCTAGATGATGATAATCCGTTCCACTGAAATCGCTGTTTAGCGGAATCATCGTCTAGCGAAAAGCATTTTCCCCACTGGAATGCATTGAAACCTGTTTAATGCATTCCAATGGGGAAGAATCGTCGTTGTCTAGCGAAGATCGGCCATAGGAAAGGCGCTTTGCGAACTGCCGATCAGCTGTTTAAATAGCTGTCTTGCGAAGCTTAGGTCCTGAAAACCCCCGTTTTGCGAGCGTGGAGGGAGCTGTCAAAATCGTCTAGCAAAAATTGGTTTGCGAAGCCGGGACCAAACATTGTCCAGCGAAATTCCCCCATAGGAATCACTGTTTTGCGAATCGCTATAGCGATCGCAAAAACTCAATGTCTAGCGAAAAAACTGTCATGCGGGGTAACTGTCTAGCGAGGCACCCTTTGCTCACCCTTGCCATATGATCCAAGAAATGTATGGCTCCCATTTAGAGCAAGCAAAGGA